TCTTACAACTACCTCAACCATGGAGGCAAAATATGTAGCTTGCAATGAAGCTACTTGTCAAGCTATGTGGCTGAAGGACTTAATCTCTCGCTTCCAAGTTCTTGAAAGCATATCTAGGCCACTCGTGATATATTGCGACAACTCTGCTGCCTTACATTTCTCTCGGAACATAAAGAACTCTTCTCTCTCAAAACATTTTGATATTAAGTATCTATTTGTCATAGAGACAAATCTTGAACTTCAAACTCGAATTGAACATCTTGCCACAAAGAAGATGTTGGCAGACCCACTAATTAATGGCTTATCTGTTGGTGTTTTTCAAAGGCATGAAATTAACATGGGTGTAGTTAATAGTCATTTGATATTTTGGATTAGTGAGATCTGATTGTTGTATTTAATTATTGTAATGAGATGTGTATAAGATGACGTCAATTTAATAATCATATCTCTTATAGCATTTCAGATGCTTGAACCATTATTAGATCACACATTTCTTCATTGTGTTATGTTAATCCATATTCATTATTATTATGTGAAATATAAGTATTTGACAAATGTGATTTGTATCCCTATCAGATACAATTTAATTCATGCATCATTAAATTTTGTGTTTTCTCACATTGTTTTGATGATAAATGATTGATAATTTGTTTATTATAATATATTATATTTTAATAATTAATTAAAATCATCAAAGTGAGAGAATGTTAAATCTGATGGATTTATTTTAATTAATTATTAAATAAAATATAATTATTATATTCAATTATTATAATTAGATTAAATAATTATAATATTGTATTGGACTTAGTTGTTGAATGACCTGTGATGGATTGAGTCATTCTTTTGGATAACTTGTTGAGATGTGTCTCTTGCCTCATCTGGTGGTTATATATTCTTCCTATCCTATTAGTTCAGATACCAAGTGTAGTAGTAGCAGCAAATAGATTCAACCATGACAGATACATGTTAATTGCATTATTCCTATTATAATATACCCTACAATCATATCTATGATTTTGGTTATACAGTTAATTTTCCAACAAGATTATCTATGATAATCGTACTATCCTTGTTATTTTATGCACCTTTAATATATATAAATGTATTCTCACCCTCTATTTGTTTGTTTGTGTTGTTGTTTACGCCAGTATTGCATATACTTAGGTAGAGAAGCCTTGACTGCTGTTGTATTTTGGAGGATTGCATAATAGTCTTCTCCGTCCACTTTTGAGTTTATTTTAATTTCCGTGTGTCGCTCTGATAGTATAACACTGAGATGAACTACCTTTCTGTTTTGTGTTCTGAGAATTATTGAACTATTTCCTTTATCATTTGAAATGAAGTTGACTTTTATTTATGAGACAATTAAAGTTGAATTGTTATTATTTATTTCCGCTGTTATAATATGATAGTTTAGAAAGATGTTTATGCTGAGAGAATGTGACACCATGTTTTTTTTAGTAAATTATCTAAATGGTTTAATAAATCAAGTGTTTGGGGTTTAAGGTGTTATAGCTGTCCCATTAGCTAAAAATATCATTAGAAATAGTAAATTTTCGTAGTGTGGCCATTAGTTCTTTAATCTATTCTAACTTAATGTCTTCCACGAGTTTTCTCAAGAAAGCGTTAATGCTCTTTGGGGAGTACAATCTCTTGTTCAGCATGTTCTCGAAGTACACTATAAAACTAAAATTGAAGCAGAGTTGTCGGAGGATGATTTCTACAAACATCAAATGATTTAGTATTGTCTTTTGTTTTTAAGTGATATTTGATAGTGATGAATCTAAATACAAAAGTCTTGGAAGCGATCTTCGAGCTTTGTTCAATGATGAAGGGTATTACTTGCAAACACTATAACACTAAAACTAGTGACGACCTTAAATTAAGATTTTAGATTAGAAGAGTGTGTCACTAAGATTAATTTGTTATATGTCTTTTAAAAGTAAAATTTTAGCATTTCAATCTCCTAAAACCTTTTTTTAGAGACATCCCAGAGAATAAATGTCAGTAAATAGTTTGATGCATCTTTAAAGCTATTGTCTTTTCTAAATTTCATCCATCTAAATAATTCAAATGGTTATAATTCTTGATCAAAATAATTGTGTCAAAATATATTATTTATTTAGTGCTTCAAATTTATAAAATTTACTTAAAAATTAATTCTATATATAAAACTTTTACTCTATAAATAAATGAGTGTGGATAATATTTGATTTTACTTTATTTTTAAAACAATTTCGTATTTTATTTAAATAAACAGTCATTATTTAAACTATCAACTATTCAACAACTTTGTTCAACAATTTAGTCAAAAAAGTATTACCATTAATTATTAATTTTTTGGTAATTTAAAAATTATATTGATAAATTAGTTATAATTTAGATACTAAATTTACTAATTTGATTTGATTTGATTTTTTCTTAGTACCAAAGACTCTCTCTATATACCAAAACGTTCCTGGGCAGTAAAGAAGAAAGATTCTATATCTTTCAATGGGAACCTCATTTATGCTTCAATCCAACGATTCATCTTCCATCATCACAAACCCTAACTCTAACCAGAGTATCCGGAGAAATCGGTTACTGACCGCCGTGAACCCTAGCTCACAGAATGGAAATCGTTCCCACTCCGGAGCTGACAGAAACTGCACCGTGAAACACCCTGGATTGAATCTTGAAATGGGTAAGGTGAAGATTCTCAAGAGAGGAGAGAAGCTGAGTCCCGATAATGTGTTTAAGAGTGAGGGTGAGGGATGTTATGATTCGATATTAGGATCAACCGATCGGTTTGGTCCAGATCCTCAGACGGTGGAGAAGCAGGTTAGGGTTCATGATTTGACGGAGGGACTTTACGCGGGACCGACTTCTGTTTCTTCGCCTCCGCCGAGTTCTGTACCGTTTCCCGGATTTCTTGGAACGAACAAAGGCGCCGTTGGTGATGATTTGGTGGTTTCTCTGTTTAATTGATTCTGTTTTATTCCTTGGATTTATATGTTTATGATGATGGTCTTTCTCTGCTTTAATTTAGAAATGACCATTGAATGCAAGTGAACAAAGAATGTTATAGAAGAAAGTTGAAGGGGTTGTTATAGGTTTAGCTTTCGGTTTCTGAAATAGATTAGGTTTTTTTTAGCTAAGTTTAGTTAGTTCTTTGTATTTAAAGAGGGTTATGTTTAGGTTTTATTTGTAGTTTCATTGTGAAAAGAGAAGGAAATTCATTGTGCTGTGATTTGATCACTTATACTCATGTATTTCTCATATTTAATCCAATAAAACTTGATACTTTTATAATAGTATGTTTTGAATTGATGACCATTGTTATATACATAATAATGAGTTGATTAATAGATGTACATTTCCAGACCATGGAATATGAGCTCTGTATTTTACTGGTCATATTGGTTATAAGAATGGAGTTATGTACCAAAATTATGAATATTTTGATGGCAATGTAAAAATAGTTTAACTGACTATGCATATTGTTTAAATTCTATAATTAGTTTTCGGATTGTGAAATAAGGAGTGCAAGATTTCCTTGTAGTCATTCCGAAAACAATATTAGTTGGAATAACATTGAATATCCCAATTATCATTCTCAGCAATGTGTTTTTTATTGTTTGAAAGTAATATATTTGGGTTTATGAATGAGTTCAAATCTTTGCAAGCATCAAGTGGGTGTGGAACAACAATTACTAGACTTTATTGGTGTTGTTGAATAGATTTTGTGAAACTCATTTTTTATGGTCTAACAAGCAAAGAAAAGTTTCGTTTCTTATTATGTGTTCTTAACTTGCTGGATTTTGGTAATTTGCTCAAGTGATCTTATCTTATGGTGTCACAAGCATGGGGTTGGAGGCTTTTTTTGTTGTGCAAAACCCTGGGTATGATTGCTAATATTTTCTGTTACGGTAAGAACTGCAATTGAATATGTCCAATAAGTGTGACAGGAGAAAGAAGTTGATGAAAAAACTGACAAAAAAGAGAGATCTAAAGAAATCGCTATTTTATCCTATTTGCAGTAATTTAATTCCTTTCTGGGCTATGATTGAAAAAGTCTACCGAATGAATTTCAGTTGCGTTCATTAGATTACTTCAATGTAAAAGTAATTAACTGACTGTGCATATTGTTTAAATTCTATAATTAGTTTTTGGAATGTGAAATAAGGAGTGCAACATTCCCATGTTGACATTCTGAAAATAATATTATTAGGAATAACATTGAACATCCCAATTATCATTCTCAGGAATGTGATTTTTATTGTTTGAAAGTAATCATTTTGGTTTATGAATGAGTTCAAATCTGCAAGAATGAAGTGGTTTTGGAACAATTACTAGTCTTCATTGGTGTTGAATAGATTTGGATTTGCGAAACTCTTTTTTCTGGTCTAACAAGCAAAGGAAAGTTTCGATTCTTATTATATGTTCTTTACTTGCTCGAGTGTTTTAATCTGCTCAAGTAAACTTATCTTATGGTGTCACAAGCATGGAGTTGGTGGCTTTAATTGTTTAACACTTTAAGTTTTAGAATTTCTGTTGCTTGTTTCAGTGCCTTTCTGGGTATGATTGCTAATCTTTTGTTTTACTGCAAGAGCTGCAGTTGAATATGTCAAATAAGAGTGACAGGAGAAAGAAGTTGATGAAAAAACTAATAAAAAAGAGAGAACTAAAGAAATTTCTATTTTATCCTATTTGCAGTAGCTTAATATCTTTCTGGGATATGATTGAAAATGTCTACCGAATGAATTTCGGTTGGATTCATTAGATAACTTCAACATTACAATTATTATATTTATCTCCCTCAGTGTTCTCAATATTAACTGATACATACACAACATCTTTCTTTACATTGTTGTCTTCAATGCTCTCTTTACAACTAAATTCTGCGAAATACCAATTTAAATCCTTTAACGTCAGACATTGATGGTCTCGGAAATGACATCTTTTATTCATGTAATTTATTACTGTAATGTAAGTTTGATTGTAGGTACTAAACTGAATTACAGCTCGTTTTGAGGTAGTATCAGTTTCCAGAACCAATGCTTCTGCCACATATATGCCATCTCTTCAATGGGAATACCTTTGGTTTCAGGCAAGAACAGCATAACAAATACGGTCATGATGACAATCCAGCAGGCGAAAAAGAGAAAGATCCCAAATTTCAATGCGCAGAGAAGAGCAAGGAATGCTTGTGCAATTATGAAAGTAAACAGAAGGTTTACAGCAACTGTGATACTCTGCCCTGCTGAACGGATTTCCAACGGGAATATCTCACTTGGAATTGTCCATCCAAGGGGGCCCCATGACCATCCAAATGCTACAACGAAGAGGCAAATCACAATTACTACCAATATCGAATAGACTCTCGACATTGCCTGGTTTTCCCCAAACTTGATCCCTAGAATTATTGCAACTATAGTCTGTTCATGTGAAAAAATGAAAATAAAATAAGTTCTCATGCATTAGACTAATTCACGTAGGAACATAGTTTTTGGTTGCAACTGATTAAAAGGGTTAAGATATAACAAAATAACTTAACAAGAGCTTATTGTCTTTTTTTGTTATTATTTTAATGCACGTATTCTCAGCTATTGATTAGAATTATTTCCCGCATAAACTGCAGGGATCTTCAAATTGTTTGACAAGTATATTTTTCTTACCTGGCATATGATCATTTGTATTCCACCGCTGATGAGAAGAACTCTCCTTCCCAATCTATCAACTGTTGCAATGGAAACAAATGTAGAGCAAGCAAGAACGCCGCCGGTCAAAGCTGAGGAGTAGAGGGAAGCATGGCTGCCGAATCCCATGCTTTGGAACAGCACTGGAGCATAAAAGAGAATGGAATTTATGCCAGTCATGATCTGTGAAGTTGGCATGATAATTGCCATAACCAACTCCGGTCTATACCTTTTCTCAAGGATGTTACGAAACGGATGCTTTATCGAGTTCGCCAACTCACTTGCCTCGACCATATCTTGAAACTCTGCGTCAACCTCGGCAGTTCCTCTGATTTTCTCTAGGAGTTTCCTTCCTTCTTCTTTCAATCCACGTTCTATTAAGCTATTTGGAGTATCGGGAAGAAATATTCCTCCTATCATCATCAAAAGAGCCGGTACTGCAGCCAAGCCTAAGGACAGCCTCCATCCCCAAGGTCTAATATTCTGTGTTCCGAAATTCACCATGTTGGCTGCAAAAATCCCAAGAGTTGTCGCCACTTGAAACATCATGTTCAATCCTCCTCGCAGGTGTGTTGGTGCCATCTCTGATAAATAAAGCGGAATTGCCTTCAAAATAAGAACGAAGAGGAGCAGCTCAAGTAATTTGTCAAGTTCTCAGGTATTAATCTTCTAACTCAAACAAAGATTGTTTCCATCACAAATAATATCTTTCTTTTCCAGTACATTTTATGAACTCACATCAACACTTTATCTGTTATTTATTAACAATTAACACTACCACCCTTCAGTGTGTGTGTTACTTGTTTGGATAATCTAGGACCAGGTTTTAAGAACGAAAAAACAGTTAGTTTCATCCCTTCATAAAAATATAACACTATTTTAAACCAGAAGACAAAAAAAAACCTTCTAAGGAATGATCATCAAAAATATGTTATTACCTGATTTCCAAATCCGATGCCAATGCCGAGCATAACGCGGCCGAGTATCAGCATTGCTAGGCTAACGGCTGCAGCATTCAGAATTGATCCAATCAGAAAGCTGACACCACCAGCGATGATACTAATCCGACGTCCATACTTTCTTGTAATAGGAGATGCAAACAGAGATGCAACTAAACCAGCGATGTAAAGAGAAGAAGTAAAGGCCGCAAGACTCTGACTGTCGTATTTGCAGTAGTTATTTTCATGTGCATGCTTTTTTTGCATGTATACTTCTGGGAAGAATTCTTCAAGGAAGTCATCCATGGAAGTCACCCCACCTGGGTTAACCATAAAACATGCATCAGAAAACATCTAAACACAAAAACACTGATCAATAATTGAAATTAATTAGTGTATTATTATAGTCTCTGTATTTGCATGCAGAGAGAATGACTCAAGATATTATCGTCTCTGTATTTGCACCCAGAGAGGATGATGCGGGGGTAAACCCAAAAATTGAAACATGCTGCAAAAATGTTATGGATCTGTTGTCAGAAACTTCACATCTGTAATTCCTTAACCAGAATCGAATCTCTTGTGGAATATTCCTGTCATGCATGTTTTACTGTTGTTACAAAAATATTCCTCTTTTCAGTATCGTTCTTATTTAATCTTTCAACCACAATAAGTTTTAATAATATAAGGACTATAAAATGAAATAGACTGAGAAACATTGAAATCAGAAGAAAAAATGATATTATTTTATGATTGAGATTAAGGAAGAAGAACCTGAAATTCCAATATCATATCCAAATAAAGATCCTCCAATAGCAGCAACAATGCAAGCAATGATAACATAAGGAGTAACTCTCCCTTTATAAAGATCTGCCCTTTCCTTCCCCACATCATTTGTTGTAAAACCCCCACCTGCCATTTTCTTGATTCACAGGAGAATGAGTGAATGCTTTTCTTTCTTCACAAAAATCAAAATATTATAGATTTCTCTTCATTTATAGTGTGTAATACAAAGTCAACCAAAAACGATAAAAATAATATATTTTTGCAGAAAATGGCCGTATCTTGTGAAATGTGATTAGGTAATAGTGATAATAATAAAGTTTGTCTGTATCTGGACTCGTGGGATCAGTGAATGGAATTTATTGATTTTCTTAGTATAGCTGCTCATAAAATTGTTTCCTTAAGTGTTCACTTTTTTCTTTGGTTGATTTTGTGTGCACTTAAAACACGAACTCATACCAGAATATATGATAAACACGAAATCTAATTTTGTATGTCTTTTGTTTGTCAAGTAATTTACGTTTTTGTTTGGTTGGCTCACACGAATGGAGGACCTGGTCTTCATGCTTCTTCTCACTGACTTCTTCATGTTTCTTTTTATTTTCTTTTTAATTTTAATTTTTATTATTATATATATTTTTTAAATTTTCTTAATAAATTATTTTTTATTATTATGTTTAGATTTAATTTAGGCTTTATAGTTCAAAATATTTTTGTATGGTGTAAAATATTTCACACATAATTTTATCATATTGTATATTTGTAAGATATTTTAGTATTCAACTTAACAAAATTATATAGATATATGAATAAATATTTTATGGCATATAATACATAAGATTATTTTCTTATAATTTATATTTATAGTCTTATTTTATCAAAAAATAGTGTAGTCTTAGAAACATTAGTTAAAATTAATTTCTTAAAATAATTATTGTTTATTTTCAATACAGAATAATTTATATTTCTTTAAATGATTTATTCTAATTTTTGTAAAAGTTTTGTTTGACCCGCGTTGATTTTCTTTTTGAATAGGATTTCTGTCCTGCCTTATGATTAATTATTATTTTTTGTCTTTTATGAAATATTTATTATGATTGATAATTTCCTTTTATTCATTTTGGTAAAAGATAAATAACTAAAATAAATAAATAAATAAATAAATAAAAAGAATAAAAAATGTCTATTTAATTTGTTGATGTGCAGCGGTGGTTTAAAATAGTACTTACTAAATATTTTACATGTATATTTTAAATTAGTTAATTTTATGTAATATTTAATTATTGCCTCAGATTCAAATTATAAATTATTTATTTATATTTTTATTGTATGTTATTTTAGTATTTTAAAATTGAGATAGGTAAAAAGAAGAAAGAAAAAGGTGATCATGAAAGATTTTACAAAATAATGTTTTAACAAAAATTCATGACATTTACATGTTTACCTGACTTACTGGGAATTTGGAACCTCGATTCAATTATTTTCATCTACTTGTGTCCCTTATGACATCATTCGAGTTAAGACCACTTGATCTTGCTTGTTCTTTTTCTATAATTATGGCATACTTTTAGGATGTGGATGACGTCCTTCCTTCTTATCCTTTTGTTTTTTCTTCTTTCCTTATTGTTTCTCTTTTTAGGTGTTATTTTTTTAAATTTTCACCCTCTTACCACCTTTTTACATACAAAATATCAAATTCCCATCATTTTTAAAAATAAATACTAAACTATCATATTTTTTTTAAAAAAATATTTTTGGTATAAGGATGCCGCCCATTCAATAGACGACAATGTATAAAAAAAATGTCTTCCGCCTATTCAATGGGCAGCATAATGTAATTCGTAATTTTTTTTATTTTTTTAATATATTAATATATATTTTCAATAAATATATTTTTAATTAATAATTAATATAAATAATATATATAAATTAAAAAAGTGTTAATTATTAATTATTTATTGAAAATATATTAATATATATATATATATATATATATATATATATATATATATATATATATATATATATATATATATATATATATATATATATTAATTATTAATATTTTTATATTAATTATAATTAGAAATATATTTATTAAAAATATATTAATTAATATATATTAATTATTAATATTAATTATATAAAAAAAATTCTGATTAAACTCTGTTGCCCATTGAATGGGCGACACCTTTATAACAAAAATGATTTTTTTTAAAAGTATTATAATTTGGGATTTAATTTGAAATGAATGAGTATTTGGTATTTTGTACCCAAAAAGATAGCAAGACGGTAAAAATTTCCTTATTCTTTTTTAATCTTTTCCGCATTTTAAAAAAGCTAATTAATATTATTATTTTTTAAATAATAATTTTTTTGTTTTTTTAATATTTTTAATTATTTAATATATTTATTTTAGTTTTTTTCTCGTAATAAATTTTTAAAGATAATTGTGATAAAAGTGCGATTAATATTATTTTAAATTTTACACGTGGCAATTAAAAAGAAATAAAAAATTTAAAATAAAAACAGAAAGAATAGCTAATAAAATATTCCTGTGTCTGATAAATTTATTAGTTTAGATATAAAAACTATTAAGATTCAATTGAATAAATAACATGAGAATAGTTTCAATTGTATAAATAACATGAGATTGAGATGTTATACTACGTAATTAAATATACTTATAATTTGAAATGAATATTTAACTAGAAATAAGTAACAATAGTATAAACTCAATTGTATTTTGTGTAAGTGTTAAATTTTTAATATTTTTATTTAAATACATCTCTAGAACACATAATTAACATGTATTAGGTGCACAAAATTGAATTCTTAAATATTGTTTAATCATTATAACCCAATCGAAGTAAAAAAACAATATAACAAAATATACAAACAAAGTTTTGATCAGTAAAATGCAAATCACTAATTCAAACAAAAGTCAATCCTGTTTCATTAGTCTAGTGTTACAACTCTTGATGTAATGAATCTTGCAATCTTATTAGTAAAAAAAGAACAACAATTCAGTTTGAACATTAAACCTTATATTCCAACAGTTGATAGGTGAACACATTAAATCAATGGACTTGCAAGTCTACATAGCTTTGAAGCAACAACAGTGGTTACTTCCATGATATGCAACCTAATATATGAGCCAACTGGGACACAATCATTTCTGTTTTCTTGTTCAAATTCTATAGCTTTAGTAAGAACTTGTTTTTGTGTTCATTTGAAACTATGATAATTAAAATGTTTGGGATAGTCTTGGGGTAGAGATTCCTGATTTAATTAGAAATGTCAGATTTTTTTGTATTAGTGGCAAACCTCACTAAAGAATAAACTGAAAGACTACCATACTTTAAGATCCTATTTAGAATTCCTAATAGACTTGAGTCCCTTATACTTTCCAAACCGCTTTCTAGTTGGGACTTCCAATGGTGTCTCCACTTCATCAGAAAACTCTACAACAACAAACATACATCAAGCAACAGGTTTAAAAAAATCATCATATCATCAATACAACTGCAAATCATCCAGACACATTTCATGTTATCTACTGCAATTGAAGTAAATACATTTTTTTTTCCTTGTCCCAATTTCAGTAAAAAAAATTCAAATAATGAACAAAAGTTGATAACCAATTAAAAAAGAAGAGCAAAATCAGTATATAACATTAGACAGGAATCAAATACTAAAAGTTGAGAACCAATTGTCAGAATCTAATGCACCATTATAAATTTGAATGAGTAGGTACATTGTTTTACCATTGGGGAAGCTGACTTTGATATTAGGAAATTTCACAACTCTTATTATCGGTATAATCACTTTATTAGCACTACAACAAATAACGTTTTTTTTATGACAAAGCCAACACCTCGAACAATAGAAAAATGAGGTCAACAAATATCATTTTTCAACAAATTTGTTCTTCACTGAAATGATTTATATATTACCGAAATGAGTTTATATTATTTTCTTTTTCACTGTTTCTCTCTTGATCATTTTGTTTCTACGTATTTGTCTCTTGACAGTCATGGTTGATTCGACAAGCACCTCCCATACAATATCTGTTGCAACATTTATTAATACAAATTGTAGAAGAAAAACTAAACGTGTCACGATGTATACCAAAGTGAAAAAAGTCCAAGAAACCGGTCTTCGCTACCCAGTTACAGTTGATGTTGCAATCGACAGGGCTTATGGTGAACACACTGGCAATTTTATGGGTTACATTATGTTACAAGATAGAAGTGAAGTGAGCATTTTGATTGATACTTGTCACGATGTTGAAGATGAATTGAAAGACGCCATATGACAAGAGGTTCGGGTATTTTATGATTTGTTTGCAAGTATATATGATCATTTATTTTTTGTTTAAACATATGATATGTTAATTGTTACTAATAACATCTCTATTGTGTAAACACGGGATGTGTTCATTGTTTGTACAAATAATGCTTATGTGAAAAAGAAGATGATTACATATTGTGGTGAGTGTTGGAGGGGCTTTAAGACACAACTCACCCATGATTATATTAAATATGAAAAGATAAAGAAAAACCTCCATATGATGTGTATCCATTTATTGATCAAGCTATTTGGGAGAAATTTGTAGAGTCTCACACCACTCCTGACTTCTTGGAAAAGAGCTGAAAAGGAAAGGAAAACCGAGCTAGAAATATATATCCACATAGATTGTCTCGTGGAGGATATCGTAAACTTGAGAAGACGATGATCGAAGTAAAAACGAAAACAAAGGTAGGAAGAGCTGGGAGTTCTATAAGTCTTGATCGCACTCCATCTCCACCATCACGCCATGAGAAATTGAAGAGGGTACGTCAAAGAAAAGATGACAAGCTCACATCAGATGCTACATGCATCCTAACCTTTCCATCCTTTTTGGGTACAAGCACAATGTTGGCTACCCATTGAGGATACTTTGAAACTGTTAGGAAACCAGCATCGAATTGTCTCTTGACCTCTTCACGAATTTTCAGAGCCATGTCTTATCTTGTTCTTTAAGTTTCTGCTTCACTGGTGGGCATTATGGTTGAAGTGGTATCTTGTGCAGAATAATATTGGTATCCATACCTAGTATATCTTGATATGACCATGCGAATACATCCACAAACT